CCATCGTGAGTAGTTCGAAATGGATCCCTAACCCACTCGTAACTTGGTACCAATTTGTCGTCAGCAAGAAAATACTTTTCAAAATTCTGTGCCGACATGCCTAAATGACTTTCTATTGTTACAAAAACAACTGTCACATACTGTTCTTCTTCCTTGTATGTTTTGACACACTCATTCACATTTGCAAACATTTCTAGTTTTTTTTGTTTCACATTTCTGCTCCACAGCTCCAAATTTCTACAGAATGCACTAACTTTATCACTGCTGTCCAACATATGTGTGTTTGCTCCTTGGAGTTGTAGATTCAGGGTATTTAATTTCTCGAATATATAACCAATTTCATCACAAATAAAGCATCTCGAAAGTTTTTGGCTTCCAGGCGGTTTTCCTCTTCTAGAAAAGTGGCAATTTCCTCTTTTAACTCATAAACACATTGTAGAAATTTCCCACGCGATGCCAGAGCCTTTCTGTGGATCATGCAATAGGTGCAGTCACATTGCGGAGATTTTTGTTTCACAAGTGCTTGTACGCTTTGGAATCTTCCACACATTGTAGAATCAGCATATTCCAACGCAATTCTTCCACTCTATGTTTGCCTCATTAATAAAATCATTTAAAATATCAAACAAAGTGAGTGCTGTTGCTTTGAGTTCTCTACGTATGCAGAAAAGTAGTTCTTCTACTACCGATATACGATCACAAAATCAGACATAGGCAATTAAATGAGCGTCTTTATTGCTATCTGTTGCCTCGTCAAGCTGAATTGAAAACAATTTGTCACACAACTTTTCAAGAAGCTGATGCTGTACATCTTCGGCTATATCACCAATTCGGCAGACAACAGTATAATTTGAAAGAGGTATGAATTGTAATTGTTTGGCAAAATTATCTCTAAACATAGTTTCTACAATCTCCATCGCAACTGGCAGAATAAGGTCTTCACCAATGGTGTGAGGCCTTTTATATCTGGCTATTTTATAAGAGGCAAGTAAAACTTTTTCGTTCACAAACAAGGTTTTTTTGAAGAATGATATTTGCTCTTCATATATATGACTAATTTTAATTCAAAGAATTCTCGGAGCTTGTTAACGTACTCACTATGAAGTGTTTCCAAATGGCGTCTAAGTTTATTAGGTTTCAAAAGTGCCAAAATTTTTAAACAAATGACGCAAAAGAAAGGTAGGGGGGCGCCATAAAAATTGTTATTGAAAATTGGGGCCCAAATACTGACACGTTGAGAAACGCTGCTTTACCATCTGTTTCAAATTGATGATTATGAACGATTTTTTTTTATTTGAAAAGCAAACACAAATATCTTTTTAAACGCAACTAAAATGAAACGTATAATTTAAGAATTAAAACTACAGCGAAATAAACCACTTATAGCCGAGTGTAAGCTAAAAAACGCCGTGTGCGGACAATTATTTGTAGACTAAGATCTAAACATCACGAATGAACAGGTTTTTTTTTAAGCATGCTAAATTAAAAAATAGCTTGGTAACGTACCTATACTATTAAAGAATCCAAGTAACGAATAGAAGTAACGAATACTAGTAACGAATATGGGCTAAAAATGAGTGATTTGGTCTTTAAAGTTATTTAACACTCTTTTATTTGCAAATGTATTAATTATTTATTTTATAAGAAAATAGATCCATTACTCTTTACGTCTTTACTCGTACCCACTCTTCTTCATTCTGCCCCAGTCTCCCTCTACTGTTCTTTGTCTGAATGGTCCTCTCTCTCAATCCTACATCTCGGCCATTCTGATCTCGGACCTTTTCCTTCAATTTTCTCTAATTGATAACGATCAATAAATATTCTTTTAATTATTTATATTATAAGCATTTTATTGTATTTTTAATATTTACAATTTCCACCCCCCTTTCGTCGCCTCCTCACCCCCATCACCTGACTCATCCATCTTTTCCCCTGATCTTTTCAGTTCTCTCCACATTTCACCGCTTTCTGCTCTTCTGTTTTCGATCCCAGTTAGTGAGTATCCCACTCTTCTATAATATTCTTCCCTGTCTCTTTGCCCGTAGATCAGCCTCCTCTCCTTAATTTCCCTCTAGCACTCTCCCAGGATCCTGCAATGTGGTCTTGCTTCTATCATTTCCTTATACTTCACTGCTCTTCTCCCCGCCTCCACCCTTACTGCCTCCTCCTTAACCTCCTCCCTCACTACATACCCTGGGGTCTCCCTTGTCAACCCTAGTACCCATCTCCAATATCGTGTTTGTATATCCTCCAACAAACCTTGTTCTCTCCATCCCCATACTTCTGCGCTGTACATCATTGTGCTCCTTACCAAGCCATCAAACATAACCTTTCTTTTTCCCACGTCCCTCCCAAAAGTTCTTTCTCCACTATTACTTTCCGGGAAACCATATCCCATTTACGTGTACTCTTTCACTTGCTCTATCTCTCTTCCCTGCCACCTCCATCTTTCTTCTTCCCAATTTGCAGTCAATCTGCAATCATCTCCTTCATCTCAACCTCCCCTCTAGCCAAGACCACCTTTGTTCCTCCTATCACCACTCCACCCATTTGCCCCTTCGCTTTGCAAGTCTCTTTTCCAAGTCCGCCGTATATATTGCAAATAGTGTGGGACTAAGCGGGCACCCCTGACTCAATCCCTTTGTCGTCCAGACTACCTCACTTAACTCTTCCCCCACTTTAATCTTGGCCATCGTCTCCCTGTACGTCTCCTTCACCCTCCCTATCAGTTGTTCTGTTATACCACTCCTCCTCATTTCCTCCCACATCTTCTCTCTATCCACTTTATCGAATGCCGCCTTCAGGTCAATAAACAATCCATACAACTTTCCCCTCTTCTTGTTCAACTTCCTATCTACCAGGTGTTTCAGAATGTATACGTTGTCAATTGCCCCTCTTCCCTCCCTGAATCCCGCCTGCCCATCCGGAAACAATTCCCCCCTATCCATTTCCTCTTCCAATCTCCCCAGCAGTATCTTTGCACACATTTTGAAAGTTGTGTCCAACAAGCTGATCCCTCTATAATTGCTCACCACCCTTTTATTCCCCTTTTTTTACAGTGGGCATATTATTCTCATCCTCCACCTGTCCGAAAACCTCTCCCCCAACCATACGTCGTTTATTACCTTCCATAGCTTCTTCATCACCGTCTCCGTCGCCTCCAACCATGCCTCATTCTGGATCTCATCCTCTTCTGGCACCCCTCGCTCTCCCTCTCCCAGTCTTCTCGCTTCCACCCCTCCCAACAATCCCATGAAGTAGGTTCTCCATTTAGTCATTTGTATATCTCTGCTGACTTCCTCTCTTCCCTTGTCAACTTTTCCCTATAATGTTCTATCCCCTCTTTCGACCAATCTACTCTAATATGTATTTTTCACCATGTTCCCTTATCTTTCTGTTCCTTCTTCCCCTCGATCCCTTTATGCACACTTCTAGAGGCTGGTGATCCGACTCTACTAACGCCCCAACCCTAAATGTTTGTATCCTCTCCCACATTCCTTGGTCCACTACCACATAATCTATCACGGACGCCCCCCTTGCACCTGTATAGGTATATTCCCCTTCATCTCCTTCCTCCATATTCCCATTCAATACCTATCCCCTCTCCTCTACCCACTTCAGTATCTCCTTTCCTTCTCCATGCAGAATCTTATCCCCTCTCCCTTGTCCTTCATCCCCCTCTTCCTCCTTCTTCCCCTATTCTTACATTAAAGTCGCCTCCAATAATCAGGTATCCCTCCCTCCCCTCCTCTGTCATATCTTCCTATTGCCTCATTGTCTCTTTCATTGCCTTACTATATACTGTCACTATCTGCACCTTCTTTCCCTCTAGCTTGATTTGCTTTTTTACCATTCCCTTCTGCCTCCATCTCCCCTCAGTAATTCCCCTCGCTATTCCTGTTATAATACCGCCGCATGCTCTTCCTCTCTTACTCTCCTCTCTGCATACACGCAATCCCATCTATACCCTTCTGGCAACTTTCCCTCAATCTTTGCCCACCCTCCTTCATCAACCCAGGTCTCCACCATACAAACAAATCACCTCAAATCTCTTCAGATATTCCCAGAACTGCCCTCCCTTATTCGTAACCCCGCTACATTCCAGAACACCATTTTCAACTCCTCCCCCGTCTAGTTTTTTGATAAAGTCCCTTTCTGCCCTCTCCTCATGTCGTCATAATTAATACTTCTCTTCACCAACTCCGCCGCTATCTGGTATTCCCCACAATTTCTATCCCTCGTTTCGTGTCTGTCATCCTTCCCCCTGGCTTTGCAGTTTGCACATATCGTCTCTCTCTCCCTATTCCCACAGATCTTAAACTCGTGACAATTTTCCCCACAATGCCCACATACCATTTCCGATTTGCGTCTATGAAATCAATATATACCCTCCCAAACCTTGTAATCTCCTTTCTCACTCTCCCTGCCACTTCCATAACATAATTTAATGTAATCTTTCCACATACTTAAACCATTTTTCCGATTCTTCTACTGATAAAGCACTTAGACATAATATTATTGTTGTTTAACTTTTTGATTTGTCCGTTTCCTCTGGGTACTTCGGTAGTGATCAGATCTCCTTTGAACAATAATTTTTGAATTCATCAGATATGAATGCTCCTCCTCTATCGGATACTATTCTTCTATTCTTCAACAAGCCGTTTTGAAAAATGACTTTTGATTCTTGAGTTTCTTGAGTTTGATTCTTGAGATTCTAGTTTTTGAAAAAAACAATATTTGAAGTTTTGATAAAATGTTCGATGTTGCAATTTTTTAGAGGATACTTTAATGGGATTTTTAGAAAATCGATTTTTCAAAAAAACAGTTTTATATATTTCATTATAATACACATTATTTACAAAAATAAGCTTAATACTATTTCTTTTTAAGTACAAATATTAAATCGTTAAAAAAATATTAAGGAACATCGATATATACTAATTAATTAACTTTGAAACAAATAAAGCAATAAATAATAATAATAACTTTGGCTTAAAATTAATAAAATTAAAATAAGTATTCTTTTAAACCAGTCTTTAAAAACTTTGTTGCACCTCAATCAAATCCCTACTTGGGTTTGCCCCTGCTGTACAAATCTAACTCATCTTTCGTCAAATAAATCGTTTCGTTCTCCATATAACTTCTGATATCCACGGGATGTCTTTCGATGTTGTGTTTTTGATGTCGAATTTTATGATGGTGTTCGGTTCCGATTACATTTTGCACCTTTCGATGATTGCTTTCGCATTGATTCGTCTGGTTGTGTATCGTTTTATGCAGTTGGCAACGCACGAATTTTTCGCTTAAAGGTGCCCCCGTTATACTTTCCACCGTACATATGTTAATTATCGGTGAGTGTCCCATACTTGAAAGGATATTTTCTAATGTATTTACGTGAAATTCATTTGAAGTGTTGTTTAAGAGATGATCCAATGATGGAAAATGTTGACCTAAAAAAAAAATTCATTTATATTATTCATTTGTGCTGTTTTAGACATGATGAGAAATCTGTTACAGTTCAAATTAAGCTGATTAAAGATNTCTAATGTATTTACGTGAAATTCATTTGAAGTGTTGTTTAAGAGATGATCCAATGATGGAAAATGTTGACCTAAAAAAAAATTCATTTATATTATTCATTTGCTGTTTTAGACATGATGAGAAATCTGTTACAGTTCAAATTAAGCTGATTAAAGATTCTGCTCAACTCGAAATTTGCAAAAAATCATTAAAAACTAGTTTTGCAATGAAATAGGAAATGGGTGAAGTATATTTTAAATATTTAGACATGATGAGAACTCTGCTACAGCTCAAATTAAACTGATTAAAGATTCTGCTCAACACGAAATTTGCAAAAAATCATGAAAAACTAGTTTTCTAATGAAATAAGAAATGGCAGAAATATTGTTTGTATTATTTGGTGTTTTAGACATGGTGAGAAATCTGCTACAGCTCAAATTAAATTGATTAAAGATGCTGCACAACCCGATATTTGCAAATATGTATCGAAAACTAGCTTTGTTATGAAATAGGAAATGGCAGAAATATATTTTAGCAATATTTGCATTATAAGCATCATGAGATTTGCAAAAAATCTGATATGTCGCATCTGGTTGACAAAGAATCGAGTGTTGTAGCAACAATTTTTAAATATGTAATGGAAGGGACATGGAAAGATATCACTCAACAGAAGAATAGTTTCACTAAATAGTTTTCAGCCAGTAGTATTGTAATCTCCAAGCACTTAGTAGTGTTTTGGCAGCAGTATATAGTCTTCTCAAAGCATTAAATAGTCTTTGCCAACAATATCTAGCTTTCTCCAAGCAATTAATAGTCTTTCCACAATATTTAATATTCTGAAAGTAGTTAATAGTCTTTTGAAGACAGTATCCAGCCTTTCCAAGCAAATAATAGTTTCTCCCAGCAGTATTTAGTCTTCTCCAAGCAGATCGTAATCTTTTCTAGTAGTATATAGCGCTCTGAAAGCAGTATGTAGTCTTATGGATGCAGTATCCAGTCTTCTCCAAGCAGATTATAATCTTTTCCACCAGTATTTAGCATTTTGGAAGCAGTAGGTCACTTTTTTGGAGAGTATATCTCTTCTTTCCAAGTAGTTATTAGTCTTTTCCAGTAGTATTTAGCATTCTGGCAGCATTAGGTAGCTTTTTATTACGCATATCTCTTCTTTCCAAGCAGTTATTAATCTTTTCCAGCAGTATCTAACATTCTGGAAGCAGTTTGCAATATTTGAATTATAAACACGATGAGGAATCTGCTGCAGCTCAAATTAAACTGATTAAAGATTCTGCTCAACCCGAAATTTGCAAAAAATCATGAAAAACTAGTTTTCTAATGAAATAGGAAATGGGAGAAATATTGTTTGTATTATTTGGTGTTTTAGACATGGTGAGAAATTTGCTACAGCTGAAATTAAATTGATTAAAGATTCTGCTCAACCCGATATTTCCAAAAGTGTATCGAAAACTAGCTTTGTAATGAAATACGAAATGGCAGAAATATTGTTTGTATTATTTGGTGTTTTAGACATGGTGAGAAATCTGCTACAACTCAAATTAAATTGATTAAAGATTCTGCACAACCCGATATTTGCAAATATGTATCGAAAACTAGCTTTGTTATGAAATAGGAAATGGCAGAAATATATTTTAGCAATATTTGCATTATAAGCATCATGAGATTTGCAAAAAATCTGATATGTCGCATCTGGTTGACAAAGAATCGAGTGTTGTAGCAACAATTTTTAAATATGTAATGGAAGGGACATGGAAAGATATCACTCAACAGAAGAATAGTTTCACTAAATAGTTTTCAGCCAGTAGTATTGTAATCTCCAAGCACTCAGTAGTGTTTTGACAGCAGTATATAGTCTTCTCAAAGTATTAAATAGTCTTTGCCAACAATATCTAGCTTTCTCCAAGCAATTAATAGTCTTTCCACAATATTTAGTATTCTGAAAGTAGTTAATAGTCTTTTGAAGACAGTATCTTGTCTGTCCAAGCAAATAATAGTTTCTCCCAGCAGTATTTAGTCTTTTCCAAGCAGATCGTAATCTTTTCTAGTAGTATATAGCGCTCTGAAAGCAGTAAGTAGTCTTATGGATGCAGTATCTAGTCTTCTCCAAGCAGATTATAATCTTTTCCACCAGTATCTAGCATTTTGGAAGCAGTAGGTCACTTTTTTGGAGAGTATATCTCTTCTTTCCAAGTAGGTATTAGTCTTTTCCAGTAGTATTTAACATTCTGGCAGCATTAGGTAGCTTTTTATTACGCATATCTCTTCTTTCCAAGCAGTTATTAATCTTTTCCAGCAGTATCTAACATTCTGGAAGCAGTTTTTTGCAATATTTGAATTATAAACACGATGAGGAATCTGCTGTAGCTCAAATTAAACTGATTAAAGATTCTGCTCAACCCGAAATTAGCAAAAAATCATGAAAAACTAGCATTGTAATCTCCAAGCACTTAGTAGTGTTTTGGCAGCAGTATATAGTCTTTTCAAAGCATTAAATAGTCTTTGCCAACAATATCTAGTTTTCTCCAAGCAATTAGTAGTCTTTCCAACAATATTTAGCATTGTGAAAGTATTTAATAGTCTTTTGAAAACAGTATCTTTTCTTTCCAAGCAGATAATAGTTTCTCCCATCAGTATTTAGTCTTCTCCAAGCAGGTTGTAATCTTTTCTAGTAGTATATAGCGCTCTGAAAGCAGTAAGTAGTCTTATGGATGCAGTATCTAGTCTTCTCCAAGCAGATTATAATCTTTTCCACCAGTATCTAGCATTTTGGAAGCAGTAGATAACTTTTTTCAAGAGCCTATCTTTTCTTTCCAAGTAGTTATTAGTCTTTTCCAGTAGTATTTTGCATTCTGGCAGCATTAGGTAGCTGTTTATTAAGAATATCTCTTCTTTCCAAGCAGTTATTAATCTTTTCCAGCAGTATCTAACATTCTGGAAGCAGTTCTTTGCAATATTTGAATTATAAACACGATGAGGAATCTGCTGTAGCTCAAATTAAACTGATTAAAGATTCTGCTCAACACGAAATTTGTAAAAAATTATGAAAAACTAGTTTTCTAATGAAATAAGAAATGGCAGAAATATTGTTTGTATTATTTGGTGTTTTAGACATGGTGAGAAATCTACTATAACTCCAATTAAATGGATTAAAGATTCTGCTCAACCCTATATTTGCAATAATTTATCGAAAACTAGCTTTGTAATGAAATACGAAATGGCAGAAATATTTTTTTGTAATATTTGCATTATATACATGATGAGATTTGCAAAAAATCTGATATGTCGCATCTGGTTGACAAAGAATCGAGTGTTGTAGCAACAATTTTTAAATATGTAATGGAAGGGACATGGAAAGATATCACTCAACAGAAGAATAGTTTCACTAAATAGTTTTCAGCCAGTAGTATTGTAATCTCCAAGCACTCAGTAGTGTTTTGACAGCAGTATATAGTCTTCTCAAAGTATTAAATAGTCTTTGCCAACAATATCTAGCTTTCTCCAAGCAATTAATAGTCTTTCCACAATATTTAGTATTCTGAAAGTAGTTAATAGTCTTTTGAAGACAGTATCTTGTCTTTCCAAGCAAATAATAGTTTCTCCCAGCAGTATTTAGTCTTTTCCAAGCAGATCGTAATCTTTTCTAGTAGTATATAGCGCTCTGAAAGCAGTAAGTAGTCTTATGGATGCAGTATCTAGTCTTCTCCAAGCAGATTATAATCTTTTCCACCAGTATCTAGCATTTTGGAAGCAGTAGGTCACTTTTTTCGNCATTCGGATTTAGCCGCACGTCTCTCAAGACGGCTAAACCCGAATGATTCTAGTTCTAGGTCTTGTGTTAGTTCTAGTGATAGTGCTAGTGCTAACCCAACCCGGAATTTCTACACAAAAATCTCTAAAAAAATATGTTGCATCTGGTTGACAAAGAATCGAGTGTTTTAGCACCAATTTTTAAATCTGTAATGGAAGGGACTCAGAAAGATATCACTCAACAAAAGAATAGTTTCTGTAAATAGTTTTCAGCCAGTAGTATTGTAATCTCCAAGCACTCAGTAGTGTTTTGGCAGCAGTATATAGCCTTCTCAAAGTATTAAATAGTCTTTGCCAACAATATCTAGCTTTCTCCAAGCAATTAATAGTCTTTCCACAATATTTAGTATTCTGAAAGTAGTTAATAGTCTTTTGAAGACAGTATCTTGTCTTTCCAAGCAAATAATAGTTTCTCCCAGCAGTATTTAGTCTTTTCCAAGCAGATCGTAATCTTTTCTAGTAGTATATAGCGCTCTGAAAGCAGTAAGTAGTCTTATGGATGCAGTATCTAGTCTTCTCCAAGCAGATTATAATCTTTTCTACCAGTATCTAGCATTTTGGAAGCAGTAGGTAACTTTTTTGGAGAGCATATCTCTTCTTACCAAGTAGTTAATAGTCTTTTCCAGTAGTATTTAGCACTCTGGCAGCATTAGGTAGCTTTTTATTAAGCATATCTATTCTTTCCAAACAGTTATTAATGTTTTCCAGCAGTATCTAACATTCTGGAAGCAGTTTTTTGCAATATTTGAATTATAAACACGATGAGGAATCTGCTACAGCTCAAATTAAACTGATTAGAGATTCTGCTCAACCCGAAATTAGCAAAAAATCATGAAAAACTAGTTTTCTAATAAAATAGGAAATGGCAGAAATATTGTTTGTATTATTTGGTGTTTTAGACATGGTGAGAAATCTGCTACAGCTCAAATTAAATTGATTAAAGATTCTGCTCAACCCGATATTTGCAATAATTTATCGAAAACTAGCTTTGCAATGAAATACGACATGGCAGAAATATTTTTTTGCAATATTTGCATTATATACATGATGAGGAATCTGCTGCAGGTCAAATTAAAGTGATTAAAGAGTCTGCTTAACCCGAAATTTGCAAAAAATCATGGAAAACTAATTTTGTACAACTAATTTCTACACAAAAATCTCTAAAAAGATATGTTGCATCTGGTTGACAAAGAATCGAGTGTTGTAGCAACAATTTTTAAATCTGTAATGGAAGCGACACAGAAAAATATCACTCAACAGAAGAATAGT